TTAGTCGAGGTTCACGTCATTTAGTCGTAGTGCTAGTCGAAGTTCGTTTTAAGAATATGAAATGACGTAATTTTTAAGTTTTAGCTCGAACTACGACTAAAGTTCGTTTTAAGAATACCGGGGTTACATTAATGTTTAATACTCAGTTGTTCATAGAATTTAAGTGATATACCGGTAACTATTGGTCACTGTGATATTAAATTGTTTGAAAGATATGCTTCAATCTAATTTATTGATCATGTGTTGGACAATTATAAGATGTTTTGTTTTCATTATGGTAAACTTTAGTAAAGCCACCAAATTGCACAACTGGTACACACTACCTATAATATGTTGGTAGGTAATTTCATCAAACACTATACAGGTTTTGAAAGTGAATATTTTGTCCAATCTGTTAATCCAATGACTGAGGGTAATAATGTAAAGCACTTGTTGACATTAAGCGCTATATAGTCGAACAGATTATTAATTTAAATTTATAGTATGATGTCGAGGATCTGGCCAGTTTGTTGACTCCACTTTTCCAAAACCCAATGCTGAAATGTTAAATTCCAGACTCAAATGTAATTTAACTCAGTTTGCCTAATACCAATTGGTCGAAATCCAGTGTGCCAAATGTCAATACACACAAGTTAATATTACCTAAAAAAATTTACTACACATTTAAAGGTGCATACTAAAATCACCTAATTAGGCTTTAACCCTTTGAAGTCCCAAGTGGGTCTATTTTAGGTTGCTGGGCCCCTTGGGGTTTTAATAGGTTTCTGAAAAATGCATAATAAATTTTTATGACTTTCTGCAAATGTTGGATTTGATTGTTGGGTAAAATGTTTTGGGCTTCCGAAAAATAGCAAAATTGTTCGACTCTTTTACATAGGTCAAAAGTCATGTAACCCAAAATTGCAATTTAGGGGCCCAAAAAGGGTACTTTTTTTCCCATAAACCCCATGTAAACGACACTAAAAAATTCCTATGCTCATAAATGTTACGCATTATGTGGAATATGTTGTTTTCTACAGTTAAATAAAATGTGCTTGGTTAAAAAAAATTATGCTTTCATATTTATGATGATTTTTTTATACCCAAGGTCATAATTTGGGGAACAGCCTCTTTCACATGCCCCCCCTCCCCAGATAGAGGGCAAGTAGGCCTTGCATTACTGGTTGCTAAAGGTTCTAGTAAAAATCTTTCCTCAGATTCATATTATTTATATTATTTATTAATTAATTAATTATTACAGTATATAAACAATCCTGCTATCATCATCTATTCAAATACATCAATCACTGAAAAAATTGCCGATTTTTGCTCTATACAATCGCTAAGCCTTGTCTAGTCACTATGACGTTAGGGAAATCCCCTAAAAGAGTCATCAACAGAGGGCAGCATTATTAAAACAATAGTATATAGGTCCGTACCGTATACAGACCGCGCATCCAGGGACAGTAAATTACTCCATATGAGATATTATTATTATATTAAGCAGCTATTGATACACATTATACTTCCCACTAAAGCATAGATATGTTTCTAAATTAAATAAATGCTAGTGCCAAAATTTATTTTAACCTTTTTAATAACGATCAAGCATGTACAGACATTTTTCGCACTTTATGATGGCTGCAGTCACTGGCTAAGCAAACATGTCAGTTTTAGTCACTATATACTACAATAAAAAAATTAACAGGGCAGCAAGTAGAACATGATTTGGCCAAAAAAGTACACATGTAAACCTATATGTCTAGTTGTAAAAACAAAAGAAAAACAAATTTTCTATTAGTCCGGCAGCTTAGCAGATGGATGTGGACATTACGGACAAAAGCACCAATTTTTTTTTACATGCTCCTTAAGGCCATAGCATTCAATTTTTGGTAGGAACCACCTCATCCGTGGTCATTATGGTGGCCATCTTGGATTTCAAAATGGCTGCCTAATAAAACCTATGATTATCTATATTTCCGCTTCTAAACCACTTGGAATTATAATTCTAATGTCTGAAACTATATTTATATGATCAAGGAATACCATGATATAATTTTTGACCTGGTCAGATTGCCACAAATAGGTCATTTAAGGTCAAATATTGTATGGTATCTTAAAAATTACATAATTGTCATATTTTACATTAGAACCATACCCAATCTCAGAATTCAAAATCTTTACTATGAACTACAATATTTCATTCTGGAGGCCATCTCGAATTTCAAAATTGCTGCCACGCAAATCCTATAATTATCAACATATCAGCTTTTAAACCACTTCCAATAAGAATTAGGATGTCTAAAAATATATTTTCTTGGTCAAGGATTTATAGCACTTGTGATATGGTCAAATGGTCATTTAAGGTCATTCAATTTCATTTTTCTGTTAAATACGTAGAATATCTTAATAGTTTGTAAGTGGTCGTGTTTTACAGCAAAATCATACATAAGCTCACAAAATTCAATTTTTGATACGAACTATTTCATCAGAGGTCATTATAACAGATTTTAGGTCAAGGTCATTTAGCAGCCATATTAAATTTCAAGGTGTCCACCATGTAAAACATTTTTAGTTCCTTTAAATATGTTTACTGTACTGCATAGTCAAAGAATAACATCACAATTTGTGACATGTATTTGTATTTATTATATTCCA